ACATAAAAAATTTGCTGGCTACGGGCACGTGGTCATCGTATAGCAAGGTTTGGAAGGTCTGGGATGTGACAGTGCAGCAGTTGGGCAGGGAGGGCCCAGCACCCAATCGGCTGGACGTGCTGTTATGGATTCTGTGCCGCTTGTTCGCTGAGCACGCATCACCATCGATGGTAGATAAGCATCTCGCAGCGCTGGCGTTCCTCTTCAAGTTCATTGGGGAGTCCACGGAGGCTGCGCGCCTGGGTTTAGGGGAAGAGAGGATCAAGCGTATTGGTCGTTGGGAATCATTACGGTTCCGCACATACGTGCGCCCGGACAAGTTGGTGTGAACCCAAGGAAGTGGGGAACAAGGGTTCTTGGGGAGTGCACTACTTATCTCTGTTTTGTCTCTTCCAGGTTGGACGGCATGGATCATTGGACATTCGTACATTTATTGGGCTCAGAAGAGGGCCACAGTTAGAAGGAACGGAACACAGCTGGGCTTTCCTTTGGAGCAGGTGGCGATATCTTGGTTTGGTTATCGGGGTTTTGATTGGCAGCACATCAGTAGGGCATTATTTCACAAGGTAGCAGAGGGGGCCGTGCCTGATGTGGTAGTAGTACACGGCGGGGGTAACGACCTGGGGTTGGTGCCGTTACGTGCTTTGTTAAGGCAAATGAAGAGGGATGTGGATCGGCTGAGGCGGTTGGTTCCTGGTGTGACAGTGGTGTGGTCTGAGATGGTGCCTCGGTGCAAGTGGCGGCACGCCAGGGACATGGTTGCGGTTGCCCGATGCCGGGGTAAGGTCAATAAGACCATGGCTAGCTTCATTCGTAGGATGGGGGGGTAGTAGTTCGTCACCGGGAATTGGAGGAGAGGTTACCAGGTTACTTCAGACTGGACGGAGTGCACCTATCTGACTTGGGATGTGATTTGTTTAATTTAGGTTTACAGGATGGTATTGCTCAAGCCCAGTTTATGTGTGGTGGGGGTCGCGTATGATCTTAAGGGGTCAAGTCATGTGCTGTGGTGGAAAAAGGGCTTGGTTAAACAGGAATTTTGTGGGTTAGGAAAGTGTTAGGCCAAGGTCTAGGCTGGAGTAGGCCAGAGTTAAAGTGTTTGGTAGGTTCAAGCCCGTCGGTGGCTACGGACAAAGGGGTGCAGGGGTGTCTGGGTACACCCCTGCAGGTGGATAAATGTTGTGGGGCCTCTTTGGTAGGCCGGGTGTTATTCGTTATGTATTATTTATAATGTACGTATTGTTCTTTGGTAGGGTCATTGTCAGGGGTATTTTGGGGAACGGAGTGGAACAAAGTTATTACTGTTGACAATGACCCTAAATTGTTAATTTAAATATTTGAATAATTAATAAAGCTGTGGACGTTATACTCCAACAGAATAAACAGTGTCCGTGTATTATTTAAGTGTAGTTTGCACATGCCGAATGACGTCTGTGCATATGTCAAGATAATTTCCAGAAATGGTGGGGAAGTATGCCAACTGACAGATAAACCACGAAGAAAGAGAATTCAGCGCTAATTATCACACAATTAGTAAAGGTAGGCAGCAACCTAAAGGAAGGAGAACCCCTCAAGTCCTTCAATGAGTACAGGTAGAGAAAAAGATATCTAAGGGCTGCGCCAAAAGTCTGTATAACTAGAATGCTAGTAGATCGTCAGGGATACTGGATAAGGTTTCCTGGTGGGAGTAGGTGCGTCTGGTGTTGACCGTTCAGTATATGAAAATACAAAAGAGATAGAGGCAACCAATGGTGCAGTATGTAAAATCCAAGGTGCGGTAGGTAACAAAAGTAGAGAACTCACATTCAGGAGAGCTATGGCCAGCTCTGGTGTGAATCACGTACAGCGGTATAATCCCCGCTTATGGGATATGCAGAGGAGGGCTCTCCGTCAGCACCGTCTGGTAATCCAAAGCTCGGGAGAAGAGGTAGAAGCAACAATAGTGCTCTCAATTGTGATATAGTTGAATGTGCAATAGATAGAAAAAGGGAACTCACATTTGAGGGAGCTATGACCAGCTCTGGTGTGGATAGCGTACAGCGGTATAATCCCCGCTTATGGGATATGTGGTGGTAGTAAGTCCGTCAGCACCGTCTGGTGGTCCAAAGCTCCAAGAGAGAGGGATAAAAAGCAGCAATAGTGCTCTCAATTGTGATGTGATACAGGAATAAAATAACAAATAAAATAATACTCACAAAGATAGAGCAGAGGTACTGCTCTATGGATGGGTGTTGGTGGTATGATCCCCACCTGGGATTTCTTGGAGTACTGGAACAGTAAAAATTGCCAGTGGAAGTAGAAGTAGCAGGAACGTTAAAATGCCAGGAATAAATAAAAAAATAGAAAAAGTATAAAGTGCATAGAGAGTGCAATAAAAAGAGGATTGGTACGGTAAGGTAACCAAAAAACTTTTATTGTTCTAAAATACACAATCAAATATAAAAGTAATAAACCAACTGACAACTTTAACACCTTTACACATTGGTTTATGAGGGGAGCAAACAGAGCGAAAAAAGGAGGTCTTAAAGAATGGACAGAACTGTTAGAATATGATATGGGTCCTTTGGCTAGTAGACTATTTGGATTTAATAACAGTGTGTCTGATCAGGCAGGAAGAATTGCTGCAACTAATTTCTATCTACTCAGCATAGAGAAAGAAATAGCTAATATTATGATGAGGCCTGCAGATGGTCCTAGAGAGGTAGCTCAAAGGATATTGTTCGTTCTGGTATACCCTACACCAACCTCAACAGCCTCTGGTGTTGGGCTCACCAGAACACATTGCAAAAGTAATGGAAGCCCTTCCCTGGGAGTGTCAGGAATTTGTCAGGCTTTTTGATCCAACACCAACAGACTTAGAAATGGTACTAACTAGAGCTGACAATTGGTGGATCAAGCATCTTTTCACAGAACAGACCTGCTCTGTTTCAGCCGTAAGAACATTCAAGGTCGAGTCTGGTAGAGATATAGATGGTAAATGGAGAAACCAGAATTTGGATGTACCCCAGAACAAGAGGGATAATGAGAACTGGAGACCAAAACAGGACTTTGACAAAAGATGGAGAGATCCACAGAGGGACCATAGGAAAAAAGGAAGCGAAGTAATGGGAGATAATTGGAGAAATAGATTAGAGGAGCCTCAGGCAATCAACAATTTTAATAATCTTCAATAAAGTTTTACATTGCACATACATAAACATTTAACACACACACACTCACCTAAATTCTAGAAGTTCTGTGTGGCAAAACCGACCTCGCCACTGGGCATTGGAGAAGACTGATTGCCAGCCTCCTGCCATGTGACTATGGCCCCTGGGATTTATTGCCCTTTAAAGACATGATTTGGACATAATGGATTTGTGTTGTGCTGCTGCTGGCCCTTTAACCCCTTAAGGACCAAGCTTCTGGAATAAAAGGGAATCATGACATGTCACACATGTCATGTGTCCTTAAGGGGTTAAGAACCATCTGGGGACATACTGTGGAGTTACTGGGTGACCACCATTTCATGTATCAGAGGCATATGGTGAGAACAATGGATGAAGCACATAGTGAGAATGGCGGCTATTTTAACTCACAGACACTGTTTTGACTTTTCTACATGGTGCCATCTCGCCGGTATTTGGTGCACACAGACATTGTTCAGTAGTTTTAAACTACAGAACAGGGGACACATTTAACAGTAATTATTTTTCATATAGCCTGTACATGTTCTGCAGAATCTGCATTAAACCGTATCTTCCAAACTACTGAACGGATCTGGGTGAATTTTGGATATGTGATTCACCCAGATACCCCGGTTCCGAAGATATATTTTTTTAATATAATTTTATAGGGTTATTGCATGCTTTGGGGTCCCTGTGATATGTTTTATGATACTGTATTTCTCTGCAGAGAGGAGGATTTTGTGTGGGAGTGTCTGTGTGTATTGTACGGATTGATTGGTTGTATTTCAAAACCCTGTGGGCAGTACTATGTTTGTAGAATGTGAATAAAAGAGGCTGTATGTGCCAGTAGTCAGTTCTACTTCACCCTCAATCTGAGTCCTGTCTCTTATTGGGGGAGTCTGCTACAATGCTCTTCATATTCCCTTGCTATAATCACTGAGCTCTTGTAAGAGCTTGTTCCTGTCTTGCTCTCTTAAGGATTCTACGATGGTTATGGTGTCGGCTGGAGTGCTTGGAGCCCTTAGGAAACGCTAGGGGCATCCTTCAACAGAGGTACCCAGTCGGGGTGCCAGGTGATCCGTTACATTCTGTATTTTGTGACAAATTTGTATAATATGTGAATTGACAGCCATAGGAAAGTACAGGAGAACTTATGTCGCTGAGGGAACTATTCCGGAGGGACGGTGGGTTGAATTTCTCCTGTATATCAGGTTTTTGCTCCCACTAGGTTCTCTTGTACTAGAGGGATAACTAGATAATGGAGCACTTTAATATTTTTATTAGTGATATTGCAGAAGGTCTTGATGGTAAGGTATGTCTTTTTGCTGATGATACTAAGATATGTAACAGGATTGATGTTCCAGGAGGGATAAGCCAAATGGCAAATGATTTAGGTAAACTAGAAAAATGGTCAGAATTGTGGCAACTGATGCATCTTGGATGTAAAAACGCAAGGGCAGAGTACAGAATATTTGATAGAGTCCTAACCTCAACATATGAGGAAAGGGATTTAGGGGTGATTATTTCTGATGACTTAAAGGTAGGCAGACAATGTAATAGAGCAGCAGGAAATGCTAGCAGAATGCTTGGTTGTATAGGGAGAGGTATTAGCAGTAGAAAGAGGGAAGTGCTTATGCCATTGTACAGAACACTGGTGAGACCTCTCTCGGAGTATTGTACACAGTACTGGAGACCGTATCTTCAGAAGGATATTGATACCTTAGAGAGGGTTCAGAGAAGGGATACTAAACTGGTTCATGGATTGCGGGATAAAACCTACCAGGAAAGGTTAAAGGATCTTAACATGTATAGCTTGGAGGAAAGACGAGACAGGGGGGATATGATAGAAACATTTAAATATATAAAGGGAATCAACACAGTAAAGGAGGAGACTATATTTAAAAGAAGAAAAACTACCACAACAAGAGGACGTAGTCTTAAATTAGAGGGACAAAGGTTTAAAAATAATATCAGGAAGTATTACTTTACTGAGAGGGTAGTGGATGCATGGAATAGCCTTCCAGCTGAAGTGGTAGAGGTTAACACAGTAAAGGAGTTTAAGCATGCGTGGGATAGGCATAAGGCTATCCTAACTATAAGATAAGGCTAGGGACTAATGAAAGTATTTAGAAAATTGGGCAGACTAGATGGGCCAAATGGTTCCTATCTGCCGTCACATTTTATGTTTCTATGTTTCTATAAGAAGAAAAAGTGGGGGAATGTGGGGTGATGCTACCCATATTTGACTGTTTTCTTTCACCTTGCTTATATCACTCACTATAATTCCTGTGCTCCCCTTTCCTATGTTAGATCTCATAGTTTAGATAAAGAGGGATATATTATTATTTTTAAATGTGCTCAACATAAGAGAAGAAAAAGTGAGGGAATGTGGTGACATTCTGTCATCAAACTAATATGGTGACCAGGGGTCATGTGACCAAGCTCATGTATTTACAGGGTGATGAGCTTTACCCTTTTATATGGTAATTGGGTAATTCAATACTTTTACAATTCAGGAAAGAGATAACCACCTCCCCTATCTCCATTCCTGCCTGTTCCTTCTTGGCCGTGCTACTGAGCAGACCCTTAAGCAGACATGGGCTAATTTTTATCATGGTGAACTGTGAGTGGGATCTGGTGCTTTTATAAGATTTAGTTGTTAGGTTGTTGTTGCTGTTGTTGTTATAGTTAGTTAGATTGTGTCATTATTTGTATGTTGTTGTTGTTTTGTCTCTGAATAAATATTTGTTAAAGTAGACTGACCAGAGTTTATATGTATATGCGTACATAATAATTTATAGAGTTTGGTAATTTACCACAGAAGGCATTGATGCTATGGACTGGCCCGCCCATTCCCCAGACCTGAATCCAATTGAGCACATCTGGGACATCATATCTCGCTCCATCCACCAACGTCACGTTGCACCACAGACTGTCTAGGAGTTGGCAGATGCTTTAGTCCATGTCTGGAAGGAGATCCCTCAGGAGACCAGCCGCCACCTCATCAGGAGCATGCACAGGCGTTGTAGGGAGGTCATACAGGCATGTGGAGGCCACACACACTACTGAGCCTCATTTTGACTTTTTTTAAGGACATTACATCAAAGCTGGATCAGCCTGTAGTGTGTTTTGAGTGTGACTCCAAATCCAGACCTCCATGGGTTGAAAAATTTGATTTCCATTTTTTTATTTTTGTGTGATTTTGTTGTCTGCACATTCAACTATGTAGAGAACAAAGTATTTCAGAAGAATATTGAATTCACTCAGATCTAGGATGTTATTTTTGTGTTCCCTTTATTTTTTTGAGCTATGCGTGTGTGTATGTATATGTGTGTGTGTGTGTGTATATATATATATAATATATGTGTGAGTGTATATATATATATTTATTTAGATTTAGAAGTTGCCTATTTCTATATAAATTTATCTATTATTATTTATAAAACAGTAGCAATGTATGTAGTTTTAACTACATTTGGAATTGAGAAATCTTCATATGCTAAGGGACGTTGATAAACTATGCCTGTTTGAATTCCCAATAAGTGCACGATATAATTGTTAAAATGGACATTGAAATAAAGTTTATTGATGAAAATGCACTTCACTGCGGGCGCGGGGGCATGCCGAGGACGTTGATGCGTTCTCCCTGCTGTGGCGCCGGGCACGAGCGTCACGATGCCCCCGTGATTACCCAACACAGAAGCACACACAGAGAAGGGGCGGAGTTAAAGACCCATGCAGGATATTTAACCCCTTCAGGACGGAGTCAATAGTACACGTTCTAATCAAAACAAAATGTAAACAAAAACTGGAATTTGCGCTACATGTCTGTTCAACCGTAATTCACCTCTTTCATATTAAGTGCACTTATTATATATCATTTTGATCAGAAGAAACAGGGCTTTTATTTCTCATGAACTATTCATATTTGAAACATAATTTATTGTGAATAAAATAAAAAAAAGTGAGAAATTAAGATTTTTAAAAAACTTTGTTGTTCTGCCTTACATTGTAGCTGTAAATTTCATAATAATGTTAGCTTTAACTGCAAAAAAAGCACATATTTGGATTCAGCAAAGTCTCACGAGTACAACAGTACCCCCCATTAACAGTTTTTACAGTGTTTTGGACTAAGTGACTGCTAAAAATGACTGGACATACCCCATTTGTAATACCTTGGGTTGTCTACTTTTGCAAATGGTATGCCATAATGGGGATAATTCTCATTCCTGGGCTACCAGGAATGAGAATTATTATGTCAAAGGCAACATAACCAATCTGGCAAATTTCAATGTGAAAAAAATTAAATGCAAGCCTTATATTTTACTCTCTAACTTTCCAAAACACCATAAACCCTGTACATCTGGGGTACTGTTATATTTGGGAGACTTCACTGAACACAAACATAAGTGTTTCAAAACAGTAAAACATATTACAACAATAATATCGTCCGTAAAAGTGCCGTTCATGTGTGAAAAATGCAAAATACATCACTTTTACTAAAAATATAATCGTTGTAATACAAGTTACCATTTTGAAACACTAATATTTGTGTTCAGCGAAGTCTCCTGAGTAAAACAATACCCCCATGTACAGGTTTTATGGTGTCTTGGAAAGTTATAGGGTTAAATATAGTGCTTGCAAATTAAATTATCTGCACTTTCTGCCTGGGTTGTCAGGCATGTCAATCAAATTTTTATTAATTAAATCACATACTGTATATATTTTAGTCTAAGTCGAGTTTTTCAGCACATTTTTTGTGCTGAAAAACCCCCACTCGACTTATACTTGAGTCAATGTCTGTATTATGGCAACTTACATTGCCATAATACAGACCAGGACCGCTGGGCTCATTACAAGCCCGGCGGTCCTGTTGGGGGCTGGCAGCGAGCTGTAACTTACCTTTCCTGTAGTTCCTGTCAGCTACCTCCTCCTCCGGTCCGGTCAGCTCCCCTGTCAGCTCCAGTGTAAGTCTCGCGAGAGCCGCGGGGTCAGAGCCCCGTGTGAGTGCCGTGGCAACGCTCCGTGCGGCACTCACACCGCGAGACTTACAGTGGAGCTGACAGGGGAGCTGACTGGACCGGAGGAGAGAGAAGGGAGCTGACAGGAGCTGCAGAAAAGGTAAGTAACAGCTCTCTGCCAGCCCCCCTCCTACACAGCCCATCCACTGGACCACCAGGGAATGAGAGCCCCCCTCCCTGGCCAGATAACAAGCAGGGAGGGGGGGCCGAAAAAATTAAAATAATTATAAAATATTAATAATATTAAAAAAATAATAATAAAATAAAATATTAATAATATAACAAAAAAAATAATTTAAATAAGAATAATAATAAAAAAATTATAAAAATGCCCACCCCCCACCAAGGCTCTGCATCACATACACAAACACACTCTGCATCACACACACACACACTCTGCATTCATACACACACACACACTCTGCATTCATTATAAATAAATATTCAATTAATATAATTTTTTGGGGATATAATTTTATTTAGAAATTTACCAGTAGCTGCTGCATTTCCCACCCTAGTCTTATACTCGAGTCAATAAGTTTTTTGGGGTAAAACTAGGGATCTCGACTTATACTCGAGTATATACGGTAATTATGTTAAAAGATTACTTAAATATACACGTAGAATTTTAATATATATATACATATGTATGTATTTAAATTCTACATGTATACTTATGTAGTTATTTATGTAATTATATATATTTATATATAAATATTTGCGGTTATTTGTATTTTATATATAGATAGATAGATATATATAGAATGGCATTCAAAGTGTATTTTGTTACACATATATATATATCCATTAAGAGAGGTGCACGCACAGGTCTTTGTAAAGAAAAGTATTGTTTATTCACTCAATATAATCCAATCCAAACGTTTCGACCCTTCAGGGTTTTTTCAAGGTCCTGAAGGGTCGAAACTTTGGGACAATTGGATTATATTGATTGAATAAACGATACTTTTCTTTGCAAAGACCTGTGAGTGCACCTCTCTTAATGGATATATACTGAACGCTGGTAGCACCGAGGCAATATATATTTAAGGACAAGTGCCGAGGACAACTGTGTGTGTGTATATATATATATATATATATAACAAAATACAGTTAGAATCAAATTACATATGTATATATAATTTATTTGACATTTTTAAAAATATTTTATTTTTTCATTTTATTAATTTATTATTGTAATTAAACGTGTATGTGTGTGTGTATATATATATATATATATATATATATACATAAAATATATATATTATATAATATATATCTTGTATATATGTAACATCATTCTAAGTGTATTTTAATACTAATATATGTACTTATATTAACATTAAATACAATATGTATGACGTTACATATATATGATGTGTGTGTATATAGAGATATATATATATATATATATATATATATATTATTTGTAGTCGGAACTTAATTCGTATATGAAAATAGAGAAGAGGGGGGAAAGTTGGTAGTGGTGTGCCGATACCAACGTACGGGTAGGCCTGTAATAAAGAGGGCCCACCGGAGGTAATGTAATGATGATAGTAAAATTATTAGAGGGAGTGGTGGGAGGGGTCACTCTTACAGGAACCAGCATAGGTAAGCAGGGGGTAGAGCTTTTATAGGGAAAACCCCTCCCACAAATTCAGGCCTATGGCCTTTTACTTGTAGTCTGAACTTAATTCGTATATGAAAATGGAGAAGAGGGGAGAAAGGCCAGTAAGTGCCTCTTGGGGCCACACATCCCTGAACAAGTGGTTACCAAAGATTGCAGCGAACCCCGAGTGGGCTGCTGCATCAGTCCAAACAGGAGAGTGCTCGGTCAGTGAGGGAATGAACAATAAGATGCCGTTCCACTCTGCTAGGAAGTGCTTCCACATATTAAATCAGCTACGGCTGGCGGGTTAAGGACTATGGTGCCATCATCAGGCATGCCTGGTAGAAGGCAGAGTAGCCTGGAGATGAAGGATCTCCCTTGTGGTATGATACGCATCGCAAAATTGAGGTATCCCAGTAGAGACTGGAG